ATTCAAGGCTAGTTCTTCCAGGAAACACTCATTCAAAACACTACACACACTTGGCTTGCTTTCACTCTAATGGCTAATGGGTAATGGGTATTGGCTAAAAGGATTCTCCACCCCAATCACCCCAAAACTAAAATCAAACATTTGGCATTCGTCGTTGTGTGGCGGATATATTGCCAACTCAGCAAACGCATTTCACTGGCCTGTGCCTGGCAGGCAGCCTTCTGCTGTTTTAAAAATAACTCCTTGTTTTGTGGAATTCCATGGAAATCATGCACATCGGGAAATGTAAAAATATTGATGTTTTCAGGCTGCTAATTTTAACTGATACTCTCTGGCGCAATGGGAAAGAAATTAGCAAAGAGCCCAAACGGATACTTGGGAGGAGTCTTTAGACTCTGAATTATCAAATCGATGGATGATTTTTTTTTTTTTTTTGCGGGTGAGGCGTTGCCCCTTGGCTTCTTGGCCCCTGGCCGTGGTTATAAATATAAGTGAAAATTTATTTAAAAATCATCGCACTTCCAATTTCCAATGCAGCCAGACATGCCGCCGGGGCAGCGGCAGAAACAGATGCTCAGAATTTCCTTTCTTTTAGTTGAAGGAAATCGCCGGTCAAAGCAACAACACAGAACAGAAGGCGACCAAAATACTTGTACAATAACAAAACAAATCAAAACCGAAAGCGAGGCGAACCCAAAAATAATACAATTTTCAAATATATCTCTCAGTGTGCGACTGCCTCTATATGAGTGAGTAAGTGAGTGAGCGATGGTGTCTCTCTGTGTTTGATTTATTTTATTTCGATTTATTTTCGACCGATCGGTCGGAATAAAGAGTTAAGAGGCTTTATTAGCAAGTCGGTCGGACGCGCGTCGTGTTGGTTGCTCTCCAAAATGTATCCGATTATCGATAATTAAAGCCTGTTATCGACGAAAGCGTATTTGAAAATATAAATAAAGTGACTTATTCTAGAGACGGAATTGGAAAACGCGCGCATTTTGTGGTTTCATTGATAACTAAATGATTAATAACCTTTTTTTGTCTGTGTTAAAAATAAAAAGGATAATAGATAAATGTAACTTAGAATGCTTCGCTTAGAAGCCCTTTTATAATAAATACTGTTCCGAAATAGTTAAGATGAAGCCTTAAATCGTTTCGATATATATCGATATATTTTCCTTCCTTTGTTTACTCCTTATTCAGAACAATTTCTTAGCCATTTAAACGCTTTGCTCGCTTGTTGAATACATAATTGGCCGCTTAATACGATTTGGCCATAATCCGATTAGCTTCTCCTTCTTCTTGGCAAAACATAAAAAGGCAAACAAAGTTCGCATGGTTTAGGATCTATCTCCTTTTTTACTTAACATCCCCTGGATGCCTTCTTGGAGATCCGCCACAAGCCGTGGAAAGAAATCCTTTGTGCACACGCACACCCCAAAACACACACACACTCCCACACATAGTCACAGGACTCGACACAACTCAATCACTTCCATGAAAACGCCATTAAAGCGCTTGGAGAGCGCTTAAGTCGAAAGCCCATCAAAAAGAGATTCGGCCGAAGGGGGAATCCCCTACGGGAGGATTCGCCAAGGCTTTGCTTGTAGTCCAAAGATGAATCGACGGCAGTCGCCTTGCTCGCAATGGGGCATTATTATTATCTTATTTCGGGTTACCTCTAATTTTAAAATGGCTCAAACGCAAACAAACAAACAAAGATGAACCGAACTGAACCGTAGAACAGAGCAGATCACAACGGCACAGAACGGATTCGAGCAAAACGAGAAAACGGAACAGCAGCAGCAGCAGCAGCAGCATCAGCAGAAGAAACAAAAAGCGTTTTTTATAGAACATTTATTTATAATTATACATTCTCGGTGTATATGCGATTTTCTGCGCCAGTAAAGTGAAGTGTAGGAAATATACACACGGTCTATACCAACCATCACCTCCTCCTTCTCGCCGCCCATACAAATACATTTATAGATTTTTGTACAATATTTTCATTTCCAATCCTCGATCCGAATCAATCGCATCGCAAGTCGTCCCGAATTCGAATCAATCGGAAAATAATCGAAATCGAACGATCGATCATCGCGCGCGCAAATGAGAAATGATCAGAAAATGAGAGTGAAAGTGCTAGTTTAACACCCCTATAATCGTTGAATTTCCATCCATCCAAGTGCAAATCTGCTGTCATAAGTCGTGAAATTTCCCAAAATAAAGTGAAAACATCTGTTTTTTGGCAGAGAAAAAAGAAAAATCGAAAAAAAGAGAATATAAATTAAGAATCGAAAGAGTGCAACATGTTGCAGGCAACAAAAACTGGCAACAACATGTTGCCTCACAGTGTTGTGTCGTTTAGCCGCCAGATGTCGTTAGCTGGCACAATGTCCACGAGATGGCGCTACATTCGCGATCATTGGCTACTTATCTCACATCCCCATAGATGGCGCCAGCAAGGTCCTCACAGAAAGTAAGCCAGAAAAAATCAAAATATAGGAAAAATCTAAGTTAAAAAATAATAAAAGAGAATGAAAACCCCTCAAGGTTTTCGCACCCAAGCTGCTTAGCTTGAAAAGCTTATCACCTAATGCCCCGGGGCTAGACGGACGACTAAGAAAACAGGGAAAGAACTTGAGATGAAGTGGGATTCCGGGGCCTGTCACTTATCTCAAAGGGAAAGTGAGAGAGGGAGAGAGAGCAAGAGCTGCTCTTAACAATTTCCGTTTCCGCCGGGAAATTCAATATGCCGTCTGGACTTCCCTCACTCTTTCTATAATTCAGTTTACTGGCTGCCGACACTCCATTCTATGCGCTTGCTTCTCTGCATATATCTAAAAATATTCCCTGTCCCCTTTTTGGCTTGTTTGTTTTTGCCAGTTTTTTTTTGCCAGATTTTTTGCTTTGTGCAAACTTTTTTAACTCGATTCTGGACAGCTCTAAACACAGACTATACATTTCTAGAAAATGTAAAAGGTAATACAATTATTAGTTACTCGCTGTTAGTTAAGACATTTCTGTTGGAAAACCCTTAAAAATTATTCATTGCTCTAAAAAATTATTTAAAAATACTCCACCTCCTCATCTAATTTATTATTTATTTATTGAGTAACAAAACACTTCGTAATATTTCTTTAAAATCCACCCAAAAAATCATCTAAATTAATATTCCTGTTCCGTTTTTCTCCCCTTTTTTTATTTTTCATGCATGTTGTTTGACTTTTAGTTCTGTTGTTTTCTAAATTGCAACAAAAAGTTGTTTATTTACGCAAATTTCTGTAGACTTTGGCCCTCGGCCAATAATTGCAAATGTTCGAGGAAAAAAAAGAAAAAGGAAAAGCTGAAAAATGGCACGAAAAACCAAAGCAATGAGTTGGTTATTTTGCAAAAGGAAAAAATCATAATAATGAGATTTATAATTTGAACTGATTAGAAATCAGCTTGGGACCCAGAATTGATGCAAAATATACAGCAGAAAAAAAAATACTTGAAAAGTAATCAATAATAATGAGTGTGTGCATGTGTGTGTGTATTGGACAACTTAGAAAATCATCAAATTAATTTTTGACTTTTTGACACAGAAAAGCGCTCTCTTTCTCAGAGTATAGAAAAAATATATAGATATAGGCAAGAAGAGTGGGCGTTAGGGAATGTTGAAGGTAGAGGAAGATATATGTCATCAATTGGGAAAGAGAAGAAAGACAAGCGCAAGGCGGTAGAACGAGGTGGGAAATGTGTGGAAAAATATTGAGGGGGAAATTTATGAGAGACAACTGCCAGCTGAATCTTTTTGATGTTGTTTATCTGGGCTATACGAGCTGGCCCAATACCCTTCAACTAAAGGGTTTTTAATATTTCAAAATCTGATAATATTGTATCCATGGGAATCCTATTTTTAAAAGAATTTAATTAATTTAATTTATTTGAATTGAAAGAATTTAAACCCATCTAAACCAGAATATAATAAAGTGAATTACTACTTTTTTCTTAAATGGATTTAAGATCTGCCAATTTAGCGCATGACTTCAACAGCTTAAATTGAATTTCCAAGTAAAGAAAAGCTTCCTAATTAATCTATTTCTCAGATTTCCCCCTTCTAAGCTTCATGTTAATCTCTAAAATATATGAAATGGAGGCAAGCCTTTCAGAATTTCATCAGCTTACTGGCAATTCCTATGAAACCATAATTAAGCTAGGTAATTTGACTAGCACTTGTATGTTCTCAATAAAACTGCACAGCATTTCTGCGAAAAACCCAAGACTATCATCCGTTTTAAATTGCCTTCCTGGCCATTGAAATATTCCTAATTTGACCATAACTTTTTAAGTTTTCATCTCCTTTTATTTTTTTGAGTAGTCACAAGGGGAGAATGGCCTTAAAGGCAGTCTGAAGCAGTCATAGGTGGCCATTTCATTTGAAATGCCATGGCAACGCAACAAAGGCGGCACCACAAGCACTCATACACACTGCTGTGAAGCGCACAGATACAGATACAGATGCTTGGGGAAACCTACGAGATACAGAAAGCTGATCAAGACTATGGCAACGTAGGTGGACGGAATGGAAGAGGGATGGGATGCCTCCGATTGTCTGCTGCTGCTGCCGTTGTCGCTGAAGCATTTCATTAGCCACCCACGCATTCTGACACTCACAAGCACACAGATACAGATACAGGCACAGGCACAGCTACAGATACAGATACGAATAAACAAGCAAAGGAATACTCCGCATTATGTGGGCGTTTGTTGAGCACAGCACGCGCGCATTTCCCTCAACGCAAGAGAATCCTGCAAGTGACTATCTGTCACCCAAAACTCCCCACCCAAAAACCCATACCTAACATACCGGGAAAACCCCTTGGAAAAAGCCCCGACTTGTTGCACTTGTGTAGGCTCAAACCCAGCTGGGGGCCTGCAAAAAGATACTTTTACTCTTACTCCTACTCGTACTTGTGCAAGGCTTTAATATCATCTCTTTCCATTTCCTTTTGCAGTTATACAACTGGACAGCATACAATTCTCAGGTGGAAACGGCAACGTCCACGTTGATGTCAATTTCCCGTTAACAGCGAACAATAAACCAATGTACAAATCCCTCAGATAGAAGGGTATATAAGTAAAGTTTTCTAGATCTATACACGGATATTGGCAACCTATAATGGCAGCTGAGCTGTGGCCATAGATACATTTTGGTGGAGAAAAACTGCAAGGATAGTTGGAATCAGTCTCAGAATCAGGTAAGCTGAAGCGTTTTAATTGTTAATTATACAAGGAGATATTAAAGGGAGAACTAGGAGCTTTCAACTTTAAAGGGGTTTAGATTTCTCAATCTTTTAGAGGAACTTCAAATTGGGATTTGATAAGATCATAAAAGCTTATAATGCCTAGAAATATTATTTAAATCAATATTTGAATCTTCTTAAAAGTCTGAAACCATTTAAATAGGCTACTCCTCAAAGTTGCCCTTCAAACTATAAAAACTCTGATTCATTAGACTCCATCGATTGATATTTTCATTTTAAATCCCTTAGAAGAAAATAATACGTGTGTTCTTCATGACTAGCAAAAATATACAAAAGATTAGGAGTGTGAATCATTGTTTTTAAGTGTTGGATATTATTTTCTATCCCGCCTTAAGAACTGATCTTTGTATTCTACATTGTATTCATTTCCTTTCGTACTGATTTCTGGTCTCTAAAGAAAAATTCTCGACGGTCTGCGAACAAGACCTACAACAACAGCTGCGTATGCGTAATATGTGTGTACACAACACACCGCACACTCACTCTCTATACACACACAAAAACACACATTATACTCACATACCATTCGCATCTCCAATGGCATTCTGGTTGGGCTTTCAATTAACGTGAAACATTTTTGCCAAAGAATATATGCTTTAGCTACCAATCGAAGAAGGGTATGGGGAAATTGTAAAGGAAGGCAGAAGAGTGGCATTGTGTTACATAGTTCCTTGGGTTTTGAATTGCAGGGCGCAGAGCTAATTAAATTTCAGAATATTTCCTGCGTAAGTCAGAAATTTTCCTACACTTTAATATCAAACGTCATTGAATTGTGCCCTCCTCCTCCACCTTCTCGGGGATTATATATTCGGGGGATCATCATCAAATATTCAAGCACGCGTCTCCCAAATGTGTGTACACATGAGTGTATAAACAAATGCGGGCAGAAAAGTAGCACTTACCTGGTAAATATTTAATAATTAAAACGAGACTTATAGAGGAGTACAACCAATAGCTGGAGAAAGTTAAGTAATAATATAAAATTCTACCTAAATAAAGTTTAATAGAGATGTTGAAAGTTTTCCCTCAGGACTTGCTTTACCATTATTCAATGTTAATTTGAAATAATGAATTCATAATGCTATTGTTTTGACCATCAACGTGTGTGAGTGTGTGACGTGTGTATTATAATATGTATATACTTGAACAGGGGGCCGGATTCAGCCTGCGGAAAATTCACCTGAAGATGAAATTTGTTTTTCCTCGCTCTGCGTTTTGTTTCATTTTGTTTACGCTCGATAATTGCACTCGACGACCGCAATAAAGGGAAATTAAAGTTTCCCTTTGGCAGCAGCCGCATAAGGGTAGCGCCCTTTCGCCCTTTCCTGCACTTTTCCCTCCCTTTGACATTTTGTGCAGTTTTGGCTTGACGTCGTCGTCGTCGTCTCGTTGCTTTCCTTTCCTTAACGTTCCCTGTCATTTCATTTGCAGCTTTAAGTATTTTGGCTGCGGGCCAAAATGTTTTTCATGTCTTGTTGTCGCCATGCCGCAGACACGGCACCAATACCATGCCGCCCCAGAGGAGGAGCAGGAGACACACGGGACAGTTAGTGATTAAGCGTGAAAATATCAGATCCATCCCATCCATGGGGTACAGCAACCGCAGCAGCAGCAGCATCAGCAGCAGCATCACCAACCGCATCAGCAGCAACGCCAGCAAAAAGAAAATTGAAACAACTTGCAAAAATTTTCTAGTTTTCTGCAACATTTCCCTATGGCTCTATGTCTCTGCTTTGGCTTTCGGGTTTTTTGGCAAATGCTGTTTGCAAATTAAAATTGTTTTAGCGCAGATAAAATGTTGTGTTACAAAGGAGTGAGCCAAACGAAATGAATTTAATTTAATTTGAAAGATTCAATTGAAATGGGGGAACCTCAAATGGGAAAATTCTCAAGCATGTATTTCTTTTTTCTTTCCTTTCGTTCAGGAAACATGAACATCTTGGAATTGTAATTAATGTTTTTGGTTTTAATTCTTAATGTTTTAATACAAAATTAAAACATTTTTCAATTGATTATTAAAATAAATAAGCCTAGAGTTTAAAATAAGTATTCATATTATTTATTTGCAAAATAAATATTAAAGAATATGTTTTTGGGATAAGGAGCTTAGTAATTGTATATTTATCTAAACTTTTTGTCTTTCAATACATTTGCTCTGTTAAAAGCCGTATCTTTATCCCCTTTACGTAAATTTAAATTATTTTCTGCATTCATCTCTTATAGAGTATTAAATTACTATTGTAATTTAGAACTTAATAGAATTTAGCCGCAAAAGATATGTAATCTAAAAAGAAACTAAACATAAACTAATTTTACATTCCCCACCTTTCAATTATTATATGTATGATTCCAAAATCTTCTTCTATAAAAGAGTTCAAAAACATCTTTTCACCGACAGACTAAAGTTTTTTCCTGATTACTATTTCTTCAAAGGAAGTTTATTCGGAAAAGTTGTAGCCATTTGATGTCTTTTCTGCACCTGAAAATCTTTCAGATCTCTCAAAACGCTGACGAAAAATGGAAAATTGTAGCTATTGTTTTTTCGAGTTGCTTTTGCTTTTGTTTGAAATACCATTTGTTTTTTCCTAACCAATATCGCATAGCCCCGGATCGTATATCGATCTCAATATGTACACTTTACGATTTCCATGTGCTTTTCACTGGCCGGGATTATCGTCCAGCCAACAGCGAGCCAAGGGGCCAACAATACAGAGAAGCTGGCAAAGATATATACACAGATATTTGTTTATACGGAATGTCAGTACAACAAACACTGGCATCCTCTCGCTTTGTATCTGAATCTGTTCTGGCTGCTGTGTATCTGCATCTGTGGAAGTGCGGCCACGGATACAGCTACACATGTGAGAGTATCTGCATCTGTAGCTGTAGCGCTGTAAGTGTATCTGTATCTGCAGCTGCGCAATTGGCGACGACAGACATCACACTGTTGGCTGTTAGCTGACATGGACAGCAACTGGCAGAGCGGGCTATATAGGATATATGTACATATATCCTATACATCGGGGGAAGAGCCAAAGGATGGGGAAGGAGGAGGAGGAGGAGGAGAGGGAGTGCATACCGCATGCTGTTCTTCTTTCGCTTCTGTATTCTTCTTTCTGCAAATTACACATAGCGCGGCGCTTTCGTAACGCATTTTGGCAGCACCTGTCTTCTTCAGGTCCCTCCCCCTGCTACACGTCTTCTCACCACACTGAAAATTGCAAAATCTTGTGTAGAAAGATTGGAAAATTTCGAAAGAGAACTGAAATTTAATCAGCGAACCCATACACTTGCATCACAGCACGGGGGCTCCTGAACGTGTGTGTGTGTGTTTAGTGTTTAGTGTGGGGAAGCAAGGTGAGGGGAAGACACACGGAAGAGGGACCAAAGCAGCGCCGCCGCGTAATGTGAACACACAAACTACAACACAGACTGAGAGAGAGAGAGAGAGAGAGAGAATGAGAGAGGTGTGTGTAGAATGGGTGGTAAAAGGGGGCTAGAAACTGGCGATCGAGGCGAGCTCTCTGTCTATATTTAGCTCGAAATGCAAATGGCGTCTCGGGCACACACACACGCAGAGACCTGGGGAGAGGTGAAATTCCCCTGAGGTGGATTTCCTACGAATATTTTTTTGCTCATGCGCCGTTTCCCTCTACACGATCGCCATTTTGAATCGAACAACCACGACGTTCGTGATACAGAAAAAAAAATCAAATAGAACTGAAAACAACAGAAAAACGAAGCAGAAAACCAGAACAGAACAGAACTGAACAGCATTTCCCCAACGAAAAGAGCAAAAAGATTAATCTAAAGAAGTCTCGATATAGATTTTTATTATAGATTCCTTCGGCGCCTTTCTCGCTTGGCCATAACTAAATTTAAGAATTTGTTTTGGTTCGCGTTTTAAATTTAACTTGTGAATGAACTGGCCAACAACAGGTCGCCCCCCAAACCCGAACCAAAAATATTATCAATTTTCTGCAAGCGCTAAGTAAACAATCGATTCGAGCTGAAAATGTTATTGGCCCGAGTTTTATTTTTATAGAGACAGCCAAAGATCTTGCGCTGCGGGCACGTGCCGTGGCTAAAATCGTACCGAATGAGATATATAGCCTATATAGTTTTTCTTGCCTTTGCATCATCATCATCCTCGTCATGTGGGTCCGTGTCTTTCGGTCTCTCTGTCTGGCGGTTCCCTTGTTTATTCAGATTTTATGTTTGCTTTTGCTATGGGTTTCTATATGTTCCATTATTCTTGGATGTTTTGCATTCCTTATCCCCGCTGGGTGGTCCAGAAATGCAGACAGGCGAGATCTGCCCACCCAAAATAATGGAGGCCCGACTTTTGTAGGTTTTTTTGTATTTTGTGATTGTCTGAAGCTTGTAACTCTGTGAAGGAGTCATTTCCGACCCTATAAATCGTACATATATATTCTTGATCAGCATCGAAAGCCGAGTCGATCTAGTCATCTCCCGAGGAAAAGAAAATTTTACCAATTTTTTCAAAAAAAGATAAAGGGTTATCGTTAAAATTTTGAAAAATTTATAAAAATGTTAACTTCCTTAAAATTTAAACGTAGTATGCAGATTTAATAACCTTATTAAAACTTACATAGAAAGCTTTCTACATTAAAATTAAAGCTTTTTAGCTTACTTATGAGCATTTTAAACATTGATTTTTCAAAAATATTGCCAAATAAATTGATCAATAAATATCGATTTAAGTACTGCGAATATTTTATGCTAAGCTATGATGGATTTCTTATTTGATCCTATTCAATTGTTGAAAGTTAGTTAAATATATTTACCATGATCCTTATATGTATATGTTGTATTTGTTTTTAAGAAATTAAAACAGCATAACCTGATAACAATTGTTTAGAAAGGAAATATTCACCCTTCTTCACCTCTCATAATCGCAGTCATTACTACATTATATTTATTAACAAATCAAATAAATTGCAAAGAAATCATTGTCAAGTTCTAATAGTTCTTCTATGGATCTCAAAGGTATTCCCCATCTAAATTTAGTATCTCCCCCTGCTCCAGGCCAATTGTTTTCCAACTTGATTCCATTTTTCCCCTACGGACTACGGTCTCAGCTGTGTAACCCCAAACCGAAAATGACAAACAGAATTATTGAAAAATTATGATTTCTTGAGCATGTCCCCAGGGCGTGACGAAGAAAAACAACAGGAGGGGGAATAAGATCGGAGGCGCACATACATAGGTAAAATGGAGACGGGGGTGTGGCCATGGCTAAAGGATTGTCTCCACTTTTCCTTTTCCTCTTCATGATTCCAAAACCCGATCTCTAGCCGGAGTACATTCCACCCTACCGCCTCGATTTAGGTACTATATAACATACAGAGTTGCATTCGTGGAGGTACCTTCATGATTCCTAAAGAAAAAAAAGGAGAAAATGCCACGTAGAGCACGCGTGGTGTGTGTGAGTGTGTGAGTGGCGGAGATTTGCTGTGGATTACCCCTCAGGCTTCAGTTCTTGTCGGATATATCTGCCCCGCGCTCAGTTTACTAATTGCTTCCGTTTGACGGTTGCTACGGTTGCTGCACAGAAAGAAATATTTACATTAATTAGGGGTTAATATGATGGTTTTAGATATGAAAATGAAGCAAAGATGTGTTAAGTTATTAAATTGAAATGAAAATAATATTAATTTGATGTCGTTAAGAATATAACTTTTATCCTTAAAAAGTATCTTAACATTTGTTAGATTATCTTAACTTCTGTTACTGAATCTTAACATCTTTTACAATATCTTAACATATTTAGGAGTATCTGAACAATTTTAAGAGTATCTGAACATATTTTAGAGTATCTGAACATATTTTAGAGTATCTTAACACCTTTAACAGTATCTTAACATAGTTTATAGTATCTAAAACTCTTTTTAGTATCTGATCCTCTTTTATAATATTTATTTAATCTTTTCTGATATTTTAATCTATGAAAAAGCTTATTTAAAAAGAGTATGTTGTACTATCTCATATTGTTTTCATCTTTCTTTTCCCTTAGTATATTTTTTCTGCGTGTTGCTCGGTTGCTACGGTTACCCCAAAGTTTCCTGGGGTCTCGAGACTTGGGACTCATTTTAATTGCATTTCTTTTAACGGTAACATCAGTGGCAGCATCCCAACAGCATCCCTGCAGTCCCCACCCCTGGCCCAATCCCCAATCTCTCCCCATTCCCTTCGGCTGCCTGTCAGTCTGGGCGACGGTCTGACGGTCTGATGGTCTGATGGTCCGATGGCTTGATGGTCTGATGCTGCTCTGCCACGTCAATAACATTTGCGTATACGGCAGAGATGCGTGTCGGTGAACCTACGGGTGGTTCGGGTGTACGGACGGGGAGCTCTGGGGTGTAGACTAACCAGGGGTCTAATACTCATTACCCCCCATAATGTTCGACGGCGCCGCTGACTGCCTTCGTTTTCTGTTGTTGTACTTTCGGGGCAACCAATAAGTAAAAAAGAAATCAAAGGAAACGCGGCGAGTACTTGCACAAATATACAGACAGACATATGTACATATACATTGTGTGTACTCACAAAAATTACGCTGAGAAAAATCGTATAGGAATATTATAAATCTCAAGGATATATAATTTGGTTTAATCTTGATTGATTTAGGAGATCTCTAGTGATTTCAAATACATTTTATGTAGTTTATGGTATCAGCTTTCCCTTCTAATAACTATTTACTTTTACTTGAAAGATTTTCTTTGTATAATCGCTTTTTTCTCAGTGTAGCACAAACCAAAAAGATGTTTCTACATCGCTGCGCCTTATGGCTGCTGTTGCTGCTGCTGCTTCGGCTTCTGCCGCTTCAGTTGGCTTTAGGTGAGAAAGACAACAATAAAATGTGGCTGCAGGCTCCGGCTCCTCTGCACATAGATACAGATACACAGATACACACTAGGGAGGGGGAGAGAGAGATATATACATGGTAGAGGAGGAGGAGGAGGAGGACTCAAGTGGCCCCGGACCCGGGTTCCATTCCAATGCAAAGACATTCCCGGCCATGGAATCCGCACTCGAGTAGAATGTTATGCTAGATATGCCATTTGACTTTTTGCCTCCGTGTACGGCTATCCGCAACTGCAACTGCAACTGCAACTGCAGCAGCAACGGGAACCCGAACCAGGAAATGGCATCAGCAGCCAAAAGGATGCGGCCACTTGAGACTCAGACTGGGACTAAGACTGAGACTGTGCAAGGGCAAGGGAACGGAAACCCCCGGGAAATGTGCCTCATTTGGTTTGGGGATTTCCTCACATAACCATTTTGTGCAACAAAACATCTGATTGAGCGGAGATTTGAAATGCTGTGGCAAGAAAAACATGTAACAGCTGTGAGGGAGATCCTTAAATCAATGGGGGATACTGGAAATGGTATATAAGATGCATCTGTGATTATAGAAAATTAAGAAATCAGTTGGTTAATATATATATATTGTTATTTTAATCTATTTCTTTTGAGATTGAGTTTTCCCAATACATCACTGCTTCACTTGGTCTGTGTCACTTGTTGAGTCTTTCCGTTGGCTCATCTGTTGCTCAACTTCCTTCCCGTTTACCCTCTTGGGTTTATCTTCTCCGATGTGTTGGCCTCGACTTGGCTTTGGTTTCTGCCCTGTCTTTGGCGAATGTCGCTTTGCATCAGCTTACAAGATTTATGGTATCCTTTCAACTTTAAACCCACTCTGCTCACTTGTCGTCTGCAAACTCATGCAGCTTCTCTGACAACTCTTATTTTTATGCGACTTTTTATGCTCTTTGAGCGGGTATTTACTTTATAACTATGGGTTTGAGATATTAATTAAGATAATTATTTCTTCTATCTTAACGTTAAAGGATGCACAGAGCTCTGTAATTCTCACAGACCTTGAAGTATAAGTATTCCTAATAAGTATCTCAAGGTTAGAAGATAGAGAAGATAGATAAAGCTCTATAATTCCCACAAAGCTATTGTGCTCCTGAAAATTTAGGAATTCTTTAAACAAAATATTGTAAAATTGAGGCCTAGAACCTAAACAACTAAAGAAACTATCTGTTCTAATAAATACATTATGATAAAGGCAACAAATGATGTTTTTCCATAAAAGTTGCTAGCTTATGCAAAAAGAAGCTCCTATGATTATACACTATAATAAGAAGCAAATGTTGAGATATCATATCCATAAGACCTTGTACTTCTTGTCAGGTTCCTATATCTTTAATAATTAATTGATAACTCTTAAGATAGCGTAAGAGCATCACAGTTTCGGCTTTGCCAAAGCCAGCTTCCTTTTTGCTTTGGCAGGGGGGCAATGCCGCACATGTGTGGACCCCGACTTTGCCACCGATTCCTGCTCTGCGGCTTCTGGGGGGGCAACAGAGGCAACTTAAACAACTAAAACAACGAAAACAACAAAAACCACGAGCGATGCAGGAGGTTAACGTGAAACGCGTGTGCATTGAACTGAGCGTCATAAATCGCGTGCGACATGAGCGCGTTTTCGGGGCGTTTTTGGTCGCCTCAAGCTTAAGATTCTTGTGTGTTTTCCCCCATTTTCTAATTTCCATTTTCCCTTCTTTTCCGCTTTGCTTGCAGCACCATCTTTTGTACCTGTTGTCGGCAAAAACAAGGTGAGTCCTCACGCATACGCATCGCATCCTTAGATCCTGTTTTGTTTACGGCAACACCAGGAGCTTCTTGGGAAGCACGTGCCACGTATTACGAATTACCAACTTGGCTAACACACACACACACATACACTCACTCACACTCACACACACGTGTGGCACAAGCAAATATTTACACTCAATGGAACATAATAAAGACATTAGGGAAATATTGTGCTATGTGGGGCATAACTCAAGTTCTGTGGGTGGAAATTGTATAAAACTTATCAGCCTGAATGCCACCCCATGGGCTTTTCCACTTTCCATCTTTCTCTTCCACACCCGCTGTGTGCTCATGAGTGAGTGTGAGTGTGAGTGTGCGGGACACTTTTCTTTATTGCTCTGCGAGTTGTCAATTTCCGTGTGTCTGCCTGTCTGCTTTTCCTGCTGCCATCCCTTCCCACGCCGCTTTTCCATCCCATCGAAGAAAAGGTAGTTTGGTTGCGGGAAGTCTAGTGTTTACGTTACACTGCGCATTAAAACAACTCGACTGGAATTGTATACATCCTGGAAAATAAAGGAAACATTACATGTGCAACAAGTTTTTATTGTATATATAAAACTATATATTATAAACTAATCAAATAGGGGTACATTAAGTCTGTTGAGAGGGTTTTACTTCTGCATTCAGATGCATTTATTCAGCCTTTATTCAGGTAAAATAATCATAATTGAAGTCTTACGTCTTTCTCTTAGTTTGTTTCTAATTATCTTTAGTACTCCCTACGCATTCAAGGCCTGCATTACCCCTTTTTCTGATGAAAGACGGTATTACTTTACCGAGTTTTAAACCAGAATTCAAGGCCAGCATTAATTTTGCAAGTTATTTATAGCCTACTTTTCGAGGGAAAGAAGATACGCAGGAAACTGCAGCCAGCTCCTGGGAAACATTTGATTATGTATTTTTGATTTAAGTAATTTAAACCGCTTTCAGCCAGGTATTAAAGCCTTCGTCGATTTTGTGGTTAAGAGCTCATCCCACTCGGATTTGGAGTCTCTTGTTGTTTCTCAGGTACATGAATGTTTTAGTATGAAATCCAAGGATGGAAGGAATTCTCTCCACTGTCAGCTGGGGGATATGCATAAATAACATTGATTGATAAGCCAGCAGCAGCCACCTACACAAACCGAGACTTGGACAGACTCTGCGCAATGTTTGCCAGATATTCCGCATGATTTCAAAATGATTACCTCACTCACTGTCGCTCGCCAATTGGTATTATCCCCGTAGTGGATAGGATATATGCCTCTCCATCAATGGACTTGTGGAACTTATGAATGAGAACTGTGACGATTCAATTAGGCCACTCTCTACCTTGACTGTTTGCCTGCCATTCGTTTCAATTATAAACCTTTTTCCAGCGTGTCCTTGCCCCTAATAAAAAAATCGAGCATAAGGGAAAGAGTTTTGTCGCATTAAATATGTGCCATTTGTGGCCCCAACTGAAAGGAAAAGTGTTTGCACAACAAGGGAAAATGTTGACAGCTTGCGGAATGCAGAAGCGAGTAACTTAAAAGTTTTCTATTTTGTCGGGCAATGCTAATTGCAAGTCAGCCCAAGCTGACAGTCAAAGCCAATTAGAGGCAGTTTCCGAAAATTCTAAGCAAGGGAAATGTAGGCATCCCTGGGAACTTATCAGTCATGCAAACAGAGAAATGCTTTCACTGGCCCCCCAAATTTGGATACCACTTCGCTCCCGCAATGACACACGTGTTAAGGTGGAATTATTGAAGCTGACAGGACGAAACTGAAATTGAAATTGAAGCAGGAACAGAAGCTGAAGCTCAGCGTGGGCGGTAAAAATTGATTAGATTTGGAAAATGTTTTCCTCTTTTCCAGAGTGTCCTTAAGCTCGCTTTTAATCACATTTAAATTGCACTCAATGCCCGGGGAATTTGATTGAGTTTGTTTTTTATGAATTACACAAAAAGTCAAAGGGGCTTAGGTCGGTTTAACTTGGCCAATTGAAATGTAATTAGCCAATGCTAATGGCGACACCTAAAGCCCTCTCAACCGAGACTCCTTCACTTGCTCCCTGGAGACGCGTAATTACTTGAGCTTTATTTTGGGAGCTCCACTTGTACACTTCTTTTTTTTTTTGGGAGGAGCTGTAGCATTTGCATAATTGATACCGCCACAGACATTTTTCAATTTCGAAATCTCGGCAAGCAATTAAAAAGATGTTTTTTCCCTGTAATTCCGTATGCTTACAACCCTCCGGACATCGCTTGAGTCTCTGTATCGCAAAGGCAATGGCAAGGCAATTTGAATGAGATTTATGAAATTACCTACGCAGCGTCGAGCGGGGAGAGCACTCTGGAATTGGAGTGGAGTTTCACGTGGTCTTGGCTTGGGGTGTCCATGTCTGGGTCTGGGTTCTGCTACGGCTTCAACTTCTTGTAGTAAAGATCCCCTGAAGAAGAAACCCCTGCAAGGCAGGCGGCCGTTAAGTCGGACTCAACACATTGAGGCAAGCCTTGGCCTCGGCATCGGCATCGGGCTGCAGATGCCGCATGTTGCACATGTGTTGAGTGCATGCAGCATGCGCAAATCGCCGGGCGGCGTTTATTGAATTAAGACTGTCGACGACTGTTTGCAGTTGGCAGTTGTCGCACCCAGTCGAAGCGTTAAAAGTCACAAGGACACTGCAACGGACTACTGGGAACTGGGAAATGGGAACTGGGATTTGTAATATGGAATCGAGAGATATATGTATATGTAATATGTATGTACATATGCCCCGGCTCCGGGTTGTGCTGTGCAACATTGTGGCGCCGCTGAGAGGCGAGAGCCATAAAACGGGTAACGTGGTCGCGCTGCACTTGGGCTCGGTTATGCGTGATTTTTACAGAATCCGCTCAGATCCCTAGCATCCCAGCTAAAGGGAAGGGGTACACATGAATATCCGTGGCATCTGGCATTTGCATATTACCCGGGAAGTCACGTTAAAGTTGCAACCATTTAACTGAAACTGTAATGGACATTCTTTAAGTAAAATATGGTTTGCAAAATATAGAAATTAAAAGAACTAATGAACTTATTTCAGTCTTACATTAACAGTGCTAACTCTCCTTGGTCAATATTATAATACCAAGGTTCTAAGAAATTTTCCTCTACTCTTTTCCCTACATAAAAATCGAATTTTATTCTCTATTGAACTCATTGAGTTCAAGTGGGGAATGGGCTTCCCCTTCCGTCCTGTTCCTGTTGTTCCGTTTAGTTTGTTATCAGCTATCCCTGCGTAACCTGCATAATAGAGCGTGTTTAACATAAATAATATGCCGCTTAGCGGAACAATCGACAGGGTCTGAGGTCCTGGGACCTAGATCCCACTTAGCTAGGACTATGAGTCGCATTTACAAATTGAATTCAATTTGCTGGCCCCTCTCAAAGCTTCCCAACTCCCACGCAAACATATCCCAGTTTTGGCATATAACTACCTCTGCCTGAATAGGCAATCATCAATCGAGCAGAAACAATGAATGGTTACCGCAGACCCAAGGCTCCAAGGACCTACAAGAGCTCCATGCGAGTGTGTGTATGTGTGTCTGTCTTCCTTTTCTGTTTTTTGTGAGCTCATAATGCCAGTGTTTTCTGTATTTATAATATACTCAGTATAAACTGGTGGTGGGGGTGGAGGGGTATATAGGTTACAGGGTAATTATGATGCAGTTAATTATTTAGTTGAAATTTTTAAATAGGAAAATGAAATACAGGAAACCTCTTTATGGTTTTGTTTACAAGTAGAAGATACTTTTTTAAATAAAAACTAAAGAAAAAGTATATAATTTATTTTTTAATTAATTTAATATTTTAGTTATAAGAGTATACTTGAGTTTATATCAAATGTAATATAAAAACAAAATAAACCTCTTTAGGAACACGGTTTAGACACTGGGTATTGAATGGTCGCAACCTAGTCTTATACCTTCCGCATTTCCTTGTTTTTCCACTGCTGCCAAACGCAGGTCAACAAAGTTTTTATTAAGCTGCGTCAGGAGGCGTCCAAATAGTGGGCTGGGCGCCCAAAAGAGGACGATCCCCAGGCAAGGACAATGTGTTGTCGCACGACAGTCAAATAAATAAAATACACACAGAGAAAAATACAGCGCAAGTGTTGGGGGGGTGGGCGGTTAGTGATACAAAGGAGGCGGAAACCCAGGGCAACAGGGCGGGCTGCGGGGTAATTAGCATTCATGAGCGGGCGCCAGAGCGGGACACCGAATCGATGGCGGACGAAATGTAACTGTTGCTGGCACACCGACGAACGGCTGATTGATCAAGTGTGTGTGTGTGTGCGCGTGAGAGGGCACAAACAAAAACCATATGTTTTAGATACGACTCCCGCACGCACTCAACGCACTCACTCACTCACACCCAACAACCACCCACCCACCCATAGCCGCTCTCCCTCGCACTCGCCCAGGCGGATGAGACTTTTGCTTTCATTGCGAGTTTGCACTCAAAGTCAGCGCCTGCGCTCAGAAGAGTGCTCTCTCCCGCGCTGCCTGTGTGTGTGATATACGGTTACACAAAAAGGCAAAAACAAAAGGCGCACCGTTAGAAGGTGCGAGCGTATGAGTGTGCGTGTGTTTGTGAGTGAGTTCACCACGAAACCGAAATCCTCACCGGGAGAGAGAGCGGGTGAGTGCAAGTGTATAAGTGTAAAAGTGTAGCTGTATCTGTATCTGTGTCTGTATCTGTATCCGTGCCTCGTTCGCGCCTCGCATTACGACGTCAACGTCGGCGTATCCGTCAGTACGTTTGTACGCGTCCGCAGCGCCGCTTCTTCAGTTTTTCGGTTTTCGGGATCTCGGGATCTGCGATTTAGCGCGTGTTCGATTTTCAATAGGACTTTTTCCGATGCAAATGCAAATGCAAATGCAGACGCAGATGCAGATCGAAACACCATAAAGACACTGAGCCGCCGCTTTCCACATACATAAGTTCGATAGTTCGTTCG